GGGTGTCTGCGTGTGGACAGACAAAACCGGAGTTTTAAGGTCCGCAACGTCACTTTCCGCGACAAAAAAATGCTGACATCACGTGTGCAACCTATGTTTACACTAGCCGGCATCATGGAAGCCTTCAGAGCTGCGCTCTCACTACCCGATCCATCAATTGTCCAAGCGCTTTCTGTTTGTTTGTTTTTACAAGCAAAATTACTGCTCCTTGCGGAAGACCCATAGACTGTACATACTGTGGGAAGACCACAGACGAAGGACGAGGTTAAGAACGGGGGAAGTACTGCCGCCTACAGGTCTGGCATGTCCTTAACGTATTTATCCGGGTACGTGTGGACAGAGTTTGTTTTTAAAACGCGGTGGTGTGGATGCACGTTTTTGGAGGGGCGGATATTCGTTTTCAAAAAACCCAGGCTACGTGTGGACTAGGCCTACATCTATCCCATGCGAAGCCCTGGACCAGCCCATTGGATGTTTGCACATTTGCATTAACTTTGATTCTTTCTGTGGGCATCCAGCAGCAGGATATGCCCAAAAATTACTCACAGTGGTCCCATGAGTGTCAGCTCATGTGGGGAATCCAGGGGTTTGCTCAGTTCAGTCCCCCTTTGTGACATTTATGGGCACCCCACAGTGTTATGTGCCCAAAAAATATCCAGTGGCCCCATACGTGTCAGCCCACATGTATTACCAATTTAATCTCAGAGTGATTTCTATGTGCCCCAAAATGACTAACACTGTGAGAGACTTTTAAAATTAAACTGGGAGGAGTGCTGGATTTATCATATGGGCAGACACCAACAAGGCCACTGTGGGTAGTTTTGGGGCACATACCACTATGGACTGCCCACAGAAATCCCCTTGATGGATTATGGATTAAGCCAAGCTACCAGGCCAACTCTAGGTGTTAAATCTCAAGGCCTTGGCACACGGCACAATACGGTGGGCTTGACCTCAGACCCCTCCTGCGAGAACACCCTTAGTCTGTGGAGAGATATTTAACCTTGTGCAACCTAGGCTTTTAATTCTGGTAAAATCACCTTTATTTTGCTGTAGGAAGACTCTTGCTGTATCAGAACACACTGCATGAGCTCATCTCACTCAGAACAGACTCTCGTCAGCTTTCCCTCCGATCAGGCGAATGCTGATGTAAACAGCCTGGGATGGAATGAAGCAACCAGTAAACTCACCTTTTGCTGTGCCAGAGAACAAAAAGGAGCCCCCCACAAATTGATTTCAATTCCTTCCCGAAGGAGGAAAAAGTTTATTCCACACACAAAAAGGAAAAAAAGGTAATCCAACACAGGAAAGAACAGCTTAGGCTAAATAGGAAAAGTTCTTATCAAAAAACCGATATAGCAGATCCGAGGAGAACAAGCTCTCTGTGTTTACACACACACACACACACACACACACACACACACACACACACACACACACACACACACACACACACACACACACACACACAAACACACACACTTTTAGACCCCGTAGCAAAACCAACCCCGATCAGAACCAACAAACTCTTTTTATTCCCCCCCCCCCCCCACACACACACACACACCTTCATGCATCATAATAATTTTTTTCTCATTCTTCTGAGCTAAACATGTAGAGCCTTGATAGAAAAAATTTGAGAGTGCACATTAAACTCACTGCACACAGCTTTTCGTTACTGTGATCTCCGGTCATGGTGAGGTTGCTTCTGCTGACTTGAGCCAACCATTTCCTGCTCTCTGCGTCTTTGGGGAAGCCATACATTCTGATTCCTCCCTCAGACCGATAGCTATATGCAGCACAGCCAACCATGGTAAGATAATCAACCTATGAAGGTAATATTGAAATACAGTTTTTGAACATATAGAAATATTGAACAGAACCAAAAATATAGAGATGATCATACTTTTTAATTAAAGATGCCATTAAGAAGGGAAGCATGACATTTTAAATTTTTATCCAACCCTAAAATGAGTAATTTGAAATTTTAACCCACGGACACATTTTATTTTAATAATAATCAAAATAAAGTTATTCAAACGTTTCATTAGGTCTTGAGTACATTGCTCAAATTTATTGATTCAGCTTATTTGTGCATATATAATGACTAAACATGTTAGTAAATAATGTTGGTAAAATGCTTTAAACATGTTGTACAAGTTTGTATTCATTTTTTCACAAATAACACTTTTTTATCTACTGTGTTTGACCATACAGTTTTATTGAAAATTTCTTTTTAATTAGTTGCTATAGAAGCCAGATAAACTGGGTTATAGATGCATGTACTGTCTTCACATAAAAATGTAAAGTATTGATTGTAAAATGTATTCTACTGAACATAATAGATCATCATTCAAAGCATAAACAGCTACATATTTTCTTCAAGGTAAGCTGGAGCAGAATTCTAGCTTTCAATAAACCACTTCAAAATGGATATTATAACTCGAGCTTAGGGCTTCTTGTAGGACTTGAAGTTATTAAATGCTTATATTAGAGCAGTGGCTTGCATTACTACATCAAATTTATTGCTATAATATAGTAATGTATGTGGTCTAAATGTGTTCTACAGTGTGTTAGGACTGTCGTGTTCCTGTAATGTAGAACAGTCACGGGTATCTGTCTTCCTACAAATGCTCGGAAAAATATAAATAAGCTACTTTGTGAAGGAGTTGGGACATAACATATAATATAATATATAATATTATTCAATAATTACCACAAATCGCCAGGGCAAATGCGATTATATACAATTTTTGTGATTTGTCCCACCATACGCTGTTCAAACTGACTTACAGCGCTGGGATGTTCGGAACTGGGAGCTCCATGAACCACGTGACCGTGAGTCGGCGAGTTCAAAGAGTGTCGTAACTCTCTCTCTCTACAGCTCTGACAGAACCCTGCCCTCCTCTCCCAATGATTGGACAGGAATTCGAGAAACGTGATTGGTAGCTAAGACTCGTGCTCTCATTGGTTCCACCCAAGTTCCTCCCACCCAAGCTAGAATTGAGACAAAATCATTTGTAACACTGTAGATTTGAGGTTTGTACCCGTAGAATGAAATGTGTGTTTTGAGAGTTTTGATTTCAAACATGTACATTGATTTTTTTAATTTATTTTGGAAGTCTGCTAGGTAAAAACTGAACGTTTCATGTTTCTGAATGAATGTTTGTGGTTACAAAATGAGTAGTAAATGTACAAAATAAAAGTTTGATTTTACAAAATAAAAAATTAATGTACAAAATGAAAATTTCCCATTACAAAACAAGGAATACATGTACAAATTAAGAATTACAAGTTAGAAAACTAGTTACAAGTTATGAATCCAAAGTTACATGTCACGAAACCAGGGGCGGCGTTAGGCCCGGCTACTTGGGCTCAAGCCCCAAATGTTTTGTGGAAAGCCCCGGATCTCAAACGTGGAAGTAACATGCAGTACCAAAGTCCAACAGAGAGGGAGCAGCTGGCAGTAGTTTGTATACAGCTTGCCTGAGCCTCCACCACTAAAGAAGAAGCCCTTCAGCAGCCGGCTTCTTCTACACTCTCTGCCTGAAACGCATGTGTGAAGATGGACATAAAGACGTTTTTTTTAGACAAAAAGTACCGCGACAGAATCCCAGCTTTGATGAGACTGGTGTTGACTCAGGTTTGTGAGTCTTATTTGAAAATATTTGTTGTGCTGCTGGTTTGCCTAAAGTTAGCTGACTATCAGGTAAAGTTGTTGGAGAAAGAAAGGGAATATTTACTATCATCTCACACTAAACACCAACAGGAACAATACTCTGCCCTGAATATGCTTAATATGTAGCTTCAGATTAAAAATTATGTGGTACAAGACAAATATATATGATTTTGACTAGTGCGTGTGTGTGCGCGCGCATACGTGCGTGTGTGTGTGTGTGTGTGTGTGTGTGTGTGTGTGTGTGTTAAGCCCGGGATATTCTCTTCAGTCCTAAATCCGCCCCTGCATGAAACATGTTCCTAGTTACAAAACTTGGTACACGTTTCATTGAATATTGTCTCAATCCTAGCTCCATACTTTTTGTCAAGTGTGATCTTTGTGGTTTAACGCTTTTTTGCAAACTGTTGGATTCCACAAATTGGCTCACACCCATAAGGTCAATGTGGGTAGTTGTTGGGCAGACAGTACTGTGGGGTGCCCACAGAAATAAACACAGTTTCCGCATAAATTGGGGGCACGTGAGGGCCTCACAATTTCTGACATTTCAAACTCAGTTTGTTTTTCTGTCTTTGCCTCACATCTGGTTCAACGAAGGAACGGGCAGCCTTAATTGTGCTGATCGTTGCAACTTATGTTTGCTCTTGGCTGGCTTGAAAACAAATTTTGAACATGAAACGTAGCAAATCATAAACATATTAAAGTGCTGCATCAACAAGAACGTTGGAATCTTTAACCCTCTGGAGGCAGTCGTTACTGATTTGCAACAGTTAAAACCTACCTAGCTAGTCACTCCACATAGGCATTTCATGAGCATTTTGTAAATCAGAAGTACCCCTGAAGGACTTAGTTGTTCGTCCTTTTATTAAAACGTATTTAGAGCCTGAGAGGGTTAATTCCCTTTAGATTTTCAACATATTATCATGGAGCAGCTTCCTGTAGCACATTGCTGTTATTTATTTATTTATTTTTTGAGAACTACTGAAGCAATATAATTTACATATGAGGATCATACTTTTTAATTAAAGATGCCATTAAGAAGGGAAGCATCAATCAGAAAAAGGCATTTCTGTTAATGATGAATGCTTGGACTGATAAAAACAACCTTCTATTTGAATTTCTTCTGCAGTATTTTACAGGAAAAACAACAATATGGTGAATAGCTAACAACATATGTTTTACAAAAATAATTAATGTGACTATTTTTTTACCATCAACATAAAAAGATTTCTGCTCCACATTAGGTGCTTTAACAATAACATGAGGGAGATGAATTGTGCCGCTTGCAGGAGTCAGAAGGTGGTAAAAGGAAAGACGAGACAGATTTTTACAAGAAGGGGAAATTTTTATTTATAACACATGATGCTGACAGAGAATCTCCAGCTCAGCGTCCATTTTACAAGGTTGATCTGCAAGGCTGTGCATGTACTGTATGGTATTTCAGAAACCAAGATTGCAGTGGCACTATAAACACACGCTTGAAACAAGACTCTGTCCCAGTTTTTCTCCTTCATTTTTTAAAAAAATTGTACAAACAACAATATAAAATATTTGTGCTGTTGGCAATTTACAAAAAAACAAAAGTCTTTTGACATTGTAACTGCAATTATTTTTTCAGCTTTTTTGTCATTTCTTCTCTTTTTTTTGTCCTTTAAAACTATGCAAGCTCCTCAAAACCCCCTGGTCTGGACTCCGGCCGCCGTCATGCAGGCTGCACTTTTATTGGACATGTGGTATGTTTGCTGTTATACACCTCACCTGCTGATTATAAAAAGACACATGCAAAAAGCTCCAATTGTACAGTTACATTTCGCCTAACATGGTCTGTTCAGCTTCAAGCTAATTTTACATTATGTACATTTGGACTTGATTAGTAGGAGTACTGATATGAAAGTCTGCTGTCCACTTTTAGGAATCTGGCCACAAACGTTTGGCATCTTTTGTCATTTCTTGTCACATGTGTGTCCAGAATGTCCAGAAAGGATCCAAATGTCCTGCAGAACTCGGCTTTGAACTACGGCAGTGCAGCTTTATTCCTAAAATCTCCTCACTTTAAGAATGTTCGTACATCAAATGAGGCCAAGTGGGCAACAAGAAATCTGCCTTCGTTTACGCTCAGAAATTGAATTTCAACAAGGTCAGGTTCTCCTGACTGCGCTGCAGCCAAGTGTAACTGTGTCTAAAAACATTCAGCATCACAATGGCATTGTGTCACATGTGTATGTATGACACAGTAATAAAGGTCAGTTGCCTTGAGTAGAGTGTGTGAAACTGATCTGAATGTCTGGTCACAGAACAGGAGTGCTCGCCGAAGCGTTTCTGTGGACGGGGCGGCCGTTGGTGATGCTGCAGCTCTAAAACACTGTTAAATGGGCTCATTTCTTATAGAACACTCACTTATATACAGTAAGGCCTAGAGGAGTGAGTATTAACATCTGTACAGGTTGTTTTGGAGTGGAACCCTCTCGCCAGGATGAAGCAGTGAAAGTATGGCTGTTAGCCCATACAGAGTCATACAAATTCTAATAAATGCACATGGCTTTTAGTGAAATTTCATTTGCCAGGTTTTCATCTGAAACAAAACTACAGTGGAAAAAAAAGACAGATGTCACCACATGTATAAAAATCTTCTGTGTATACAACAGTTATATGTCAGAAATAACCACATATAGCAGAAACGAACAGCTGTGTTTATTTTGTGTGTGTTCTGCAGGCTGATGAAGAGCTAAAGTTGCAGTGAGCTCTGAAAACATTTGTTCTGATAAACCCCGATTTTAGTTTCAACAGTGCAGAAAACAGGGTATGCTCAATTTACCCGAAACACCCTGTCGACCTTTTTATTTACAGTGGGTTGTTGCATTCTCTGCTTGTGTTCAAAGCACTCTTTATTTAATCTTCCCATTAACGTTATCAGAAATGCGGCCTTTTCATTTATTCTGAATAGTCAATAATTGTTTTTTTGTTGTTGTATATATGTAGAAGAGTGGTTCCTAAGTTTGAGATAGTGACTCCTCTCTGGGTCACAAAACTCTAAACTGAAACTTGAAATAATCTAAATAAACCAAACCCATTAAATACAATTAAAATACAGAATTCTTCATAGCAAATTCTCATCATTTTAGAAAAAATAAAAACAATTTACACATGTTTGTATCATTTTTACATTGCACCTTGACAATCTTTTATTGCCACTGTGTTCTTGTTTATTTATTTGTAAAATTCAACCAGCTTCATTCAGGTCAAGAGTTTTTACCATTGTTATTTTATGGGTGATATGGAAAGAACAAAAAGGCCGAGGGGAGTTTATGTTTGCAGATATTTGTTATCTTTAGAGATATTAATTAAAGCTGCACAAAAAAGTCATAATTTTCTCTAACATCTCTGAAAACATCTTGATAATTATAGAAACTTTCAGATACCTGCCTGAAACAGACCAAACAAGGTCCTTGGTCAGTGAGCCCCAGGGCAGCTGTGGCTACATTGTAGCTCATCACCATTAGCTTGTGAATGGATGAATGATTCACTGTAATGTAAAGCTCTTTGGAGTCTTCTGACTCTGAAAGGCGCTTTAAAAGTGTGGATCTTTTATCTTTAATAACGTGACGGGGACGAGCGCTAAAGTTGGAATATCAAATGTTTGGAGAAAAACAATTTTACCCTAAAATGAGTGACGCAACAGGGATGGGCACAAATTCTCTACAGTGTGTGTGTGTGTGTGTGTGTGTGTGTGTGTGTGTGTGTCACACCATCGGTGCTACTTATAACCTCTTGTCATATTTCTGTGACATATCACTAAAGTCACAGGTGTGGTTTTAATTACTACTGGTGGAAAAAAACGATATAACTATTTTTACTGATCCAAATAACCCTCGTACGTTCAGGAACATTCTCAACACATTTTTCTTGTCAGCCATAGTATTTAATGACGAGCCTCATCAAGTGCAAACGCAAAGAGATCAAAACAAACACAGCTGCTACAACCACAAGGTACAAAGACACAATGCATTTCTTTGCTAAGACAGTCTCATGATGCATCTCCGATTTCAGCAGGCACATTCACTTTGACCGTGGCCTATCGCAGCACAGCTCTGCCCGACTCCGACACCTAACAGTTTGTCCATAAGTTACAGACACACCGTAGACCTACAGCACGTCTAAATAAAGCCTTCTGTCTTTAGCCCGGTATCAGCTCCTGTGAAACCAGCGCCAGCGTCTCCCACAGCTATCACAGCCCCGCCAGAAGGGAGGAATGGCAAGGGAGGACTGAATTAAAGGGTCAGGGGTCACATGGGGGCTTGTAAGCCCAGATAATGGAAACCAATCCTGAGTTAGCAGGGGTCTGCTAAAATATGCACCACTGAAGGCACTTTTTTTTAAAACAACAGTGCTTCTGTTCTAAGTACTTCAAGTTCAGAAAAGACTAACCCAGGACCCTCCATGGTGGATGGACCTTCGTATCTGTCATCGTATCTTTTTATAATCTTTATGCACTTTTGTCTCGGACACAGCAACCTAAAGCTTCTTCATAGAGGCAGGCGGGGGGCTAGCAGCAAGGGAAAGTGACAACCGTCAGGAGTAAAATTTAGTTTGAGTTTAAACCATAGTGAGGACTAAAGAGATAGAAATAAAACTTAAATAAAGGCTGAATTCATCATAAAAAGCCTAAGTGAAACCAAAGCATGAGTTGGAGAATACAGACTATGAAAAGCTTGCAAACCAGGGATCCCATTGCAGTCTTAGAGCAGGAGCCAGTGGAAACTGGCTCGTGGCACTGGTCCTCTGTGGTGGGTTACTGGATTGGTCGATTGGTCAGAGTGAACAGTTAAGGGGTGTTCAAGGAGGTTGTAATAGCCCCATGTGTTGTTAGGGACAGAGCATGGCAGCCAGCTGACGGGACGAAGGGGTGTGTGTGAGCGTGTGAGACAGGGAGGTTTTAATCATCATCCCCGCCTCCGTACATGTCAGCCAGCTTCTTGAAGCGGGGCCCCCAGTCATTGAGGTAGTCATAGTCCTGGTCCCCCGTGCTGGTGGAGTTCAGGGAGCTGACGGAGCCGGCGGTGGAGCCGCTGCCCTCGTAGTCAAACACCAGCAGGGAGTCATATGGAGGAGCTGTAGGGTCATTGTCTGCAGCTCGCAGCCCCTAAAGAGAATCCAAAGGTACAAGTGAGTCATTCATTCTCTCTCAGCACCCACCTTCTCCTGCTCAGGGATCTATGGAGTAGAGCCTATCCCAGGTGTCACAGGATCTGAGGTGGAACAAGCTGGAAGTCCATCACAGGACTCACACAGAGACACATAACAAAGCATGCTTTCATTTATGAAAGATGGGAGCCAGGAGCAAACCCAGAACACCCAGCAGGGATTAGACTGGAGAGCTATTTTCTGCCTTTTGCATATGTATTTCTGAGTTTCCCTTTCAGGCTGCAAAATGTGGAGAAAGGAACATCCCAAAAGCATCAAGTGAATCGTTCAAGATGCTCAGTGGCCAACGTGCTGGCGATTGTGCCATCATTTCATGCCACGAGTATGCTTTCATTCAGCTTGAGCTTGACACGGGTTTGGAAATTTCTGCTAGGAGGAAGCAGTGCCGAGAACGGAAAGCACTTTGTAGAAGAGGGAGGATTTCTCCTCTTGTATTAATTAATTTGGAATGCTGGCAGATGAGATTATTAGAAGACGGCGACTGCCAAGGCATATTAAAAAGATGAACCTGAGACCCATAATGAGAAGGACTCATGCAGAACCAGCGCCACCAACTCTCTCTGTAAACCTTTGGTATTTTTCATGTGTGTCTATTGAAAATGACAAGGAGACTTTTACAAAGTAAAAATAGTTCAGTAAAATTTTTAAAAGCATGCAGAAAAAAAATGCATTAAATGCTGCAAGCTGCTGTGGTGGCTCTTTCTTTAAAATATAACAAATATTTTTGTTATGAAAGATTGTTTCAAATAAATAATTCAGTACAACATTTTTGTAAAAATGATAAATTGGGGTCATTGACTTGGGGGCAGGAGGGAGGATCACACCTTGATAATCTGAGAGAAATCCTGAGAAACACGGAAGTCTGAAAATTCTCAGCCCCCGAGGATGCAGTGAGTGGCAAAAACACCATGTGTTTGCAGTGTTTGTGTTTAACTGGGCTGCTGGAGCGAGATCAGGTGAATCTGTGTGTGTGTGTGTGTGTGTGTGTGTGTGTGTGTGTGTGTGTGTGTGTGTGTGTGTGTGTGTGTGTGTGTGTGTGACAGACAGAAAAAGTTAAGGCTGGATGGATCAAAGCTGAACAGCTGCCAACACCTCTCGAGTGTGAACGCGTTGTCACGAGTCTGTCAATCAGCATTTTCTCGCATCAGTGTGCCAGCGATGAAGTTGGCTGTGTGTGACAGTTCATGCTTGTGTGTGAGGGGAGGGGGAAGTGACAGCATGGCTGTAAAGTAAAACACTACATCACCTTTGCCTTCATATTCATGAAAAAAATAATAAAAAGTCGTATTAAACGTTTACAAATTCACCTCGTGGATGAAGTCCCCGATGTCTCCAGGGTGGGGCACAACAGGTCTGATGGGATACTGTGATTCTGGGATGATGGGACGCTCATCCACTCTGCGTATGCCGGGCGGTTTGCTCATGATGTGTTCTAAAGAGTCTGGCTGCTGGAGCTGGCTCAGATCGTAGTCCTGCATATTCACAGGGGTACAGGCATGTGAGCAGGGCAAGAGTGAACATGAACATATGTGTGTTTGGAGATCTCACCTGGTCCTCCTCACCACCTCCCTCTTCATCATATTTAAGGATGTTGTCCCTGACATCGTCTTCAGGGTCGATGAGCAGCTGCTTCGTCTGCCTCTCCTTCTCTCTGCGCTTGATCCACACCACGAACAGCAGCACCATGCCTGCAACAGCACACACGGAGGTTTGAAAGCTTTAGATTTTTCTGCAACAGCAGAGAATACCAAACGATGCGGGCCGACTAGTACTGTACTCAAGACAAGGTCTTCACCAGAACTAGAAAGTAAAAAAACAAAGTCAACAAGGAGAAAGCTGATTTATTTTGGAACAAGTTCAATTACTGCACAAATTTAAGTTGTACTTTCTAATGTTTAGCTCATCTCAAAACAGTTTCAACATGAAACGAGTAAAAACTTTAGATGGCACTACTGGTTAAGAAATGTTACACAAAAATATCGTAATAAAATAGAAGTTCTTCTAGAAGACTGTGAAATGCAATAAGACATTTTGCTATCATTAGAAATCTGAAAAAAATCTAATTAAGAAAACGCAATATTTGACTGAGGACGAAAGACACGGAATTGAAGAAATTCCAACTAGCATTAAGAAAGGTGCCTAATGCTAGCTGATGTCCTGTTTCGAGCCAATTCATTATGATTTTTACTGTTTTGTGCAAATTTCACTTTTTTAGAATTGAACCTATTATGGAAATTTGTGATTGTTTTGTTTAGATCTGTCACATCCTAGTAAGTCAGTATGTATACGTTTGCTTTGGTGGTTTTCACACCAGTCAGAAGTCAAGCTGTGCCTTCGAATGACTGAATTGGCTTACCTGTGAGTGATCTGTGGTTAATATGAGTAAGTTTTACTCAGGTGGATGCTTACTTGGCCCGCCCGCCCATCCATCCATCCATCCATCCATCCATCCATCCATTTTCATCCAACCATCCATTTTCATCCGTCCATTTTCATCCATCCATCCATTTTCATCCGCTTATCCGGAGTCAGGTCGCGAGGGCAGTAGCCTAAGGCGAGAGTCCCAGACTTCCCTCTCCCTAGCCACTTGGGCCAGCTCCTCCGGGGGAATCCCAAGGCGTTCCCTGGCAAGGTGAGAGACATAGTCCCTCCACCGTGTCCTGGGTCTACCTTTAGGTCTCCTCCCGGTTGGACGTGCCCAGAAACCCTCACCAGGAAGGCATCCAGGATGCATCCTGACCAGATGCCCGAGCCACCTCAACTGGCTCCTCTCGATGTGGAGGAGCAGCGGGTCTACTCCGAGCCCTTCCCGGATGACCGAGCTTCTCACCCTACCTCTAAGGGAGAGCCCAGCCACTCTTCGGAGAAAACTCATTTTGGCCGCTTGTATCCGTGACCTCGTTCTTTCGGTCACTACCCAAAGCTCATGACCATAGGTGAGGGTGGGAACGTAGATCGACCGGTAAGTCGAATGCTTCGCCTTCTGACTCAGCTCTGTCTTCACCACGACAGACCGGTACAACGCTCGCATCACTGCAAATGCAGCACCAATCTGCCTATCGATCTTGCGCTCCAGTTTTCCCTCACTCGTGAACAAGACCCCAAGATACTTAAACTCCTCCACTTGGGGCAGGACCTCATCCCTGACCTGGAGAAGACATTCTACCCTTTTCCGAATCAAGACCATGGTCTCAGATTTAGAGGAGCTGATTCTCATCCCAGCTGCTTCCCACTCGGCTGCGAACTGCTCCAGCGAAAGCTGAAGATCACATTCTGATGAAGCTAACAGGACCACATCATCTGCAAAAAGCAGAGACCTGATTCTCAGGCCACCAAAACGGATGCCCTCCACACCTTGGCTGCACCTAGAAATCCTGTCCATAAAGGTTATGAACAGAATTAGTGACAAAGGGCAGCCTTGGCGGAGTCCAACTCTCACTGGGAATGAGCCCGACTTACTGCAGGCAATGCGGACCAAGCTCTGACACCAGTCATACAGGGACCTAACAGCCCGTATCAGAGGGCCTGGTACCCCATACTCCCCGAGTACCCCCCACAGGACCCCCCGAGGGATGCGGCCAAACACCTTCTCCAAATCCACAAAACACATGTAGACTGGTTGGGCAAATTCCCACGCACCCTCCAGGATCCCCCAATGGGTATAGAGCTGGTCCAGTGTTCCACAGCCAGGACGAAAACCACATTGCTCCTCCTGAATCTGAGGTTCAACAATCCGATGGACCCTCCTCTCCAGAACTCCTGAATAGACCTTTCAAGGAAGGCTCAGGAGTGTGACCCCACTGTAGTTGGCACACACCCTGTCCACCACGCCCCCCTTTTTAAATAAGGGGACCACCACCCCAGTCTGCCAGTCCAGTGGGACTGCCCCGATGTCCACGCGATATTGCAGAGCCGCGTCAGCCAACGCAGCCCCACAACATCCAGAGCCTTAAGGAGCTCCGGGCAGATCTCATCCACTCCTGGAGCCTTGCCACAGAGGAGCTTTTTAACCACCTCAGTGACCTCAGCACCAGAGATTTGAGAGGCCAACCCAAAGTCCCCAAATTCTGCTTCCTCACTGGAAGACATGTCGGTGGCATTGAGGAGGTCTTCGAAGTATTCTGCCCACCGATCTACAACGTCCTGAGTAGAGGTCAGCAGCACACCATCCCCACTATAGATAGTGTTAGTACCGCACTGCTTCCCTCCCCCGAGGTGCTGGATGGTGGACCAGAATCTTCTCGAAGCCGTACGGTAGTCTTGCTCCATGGTCTCACAGAACTCCTCCCATGCCCGGGGTTTGGCCTTGGCGACCACCTGAGCCCGTTCCACTTGGACTGCCGGTACCCGTCAGCTGCCTCTGGAGTCCCACAGGCCAAAAAGACCTGATAGGACTCTTTCCCCAGCTTGACAGCATCCCTAACCACCGGTGTCCACCAGCAGGTTAGGGGGTTGCCACCACGACAGGCACCGACGATCCTGTGACCACAGCTCCGGTCGGCCGCCTCAACAATGGAGGCACGGAACAGGGTCCATTCAGACTCAATGTCCCCCGCCACACCCGGAACATTTTGGAAGTTCTGTCGGAGGTGGTAATTGAAGCTCCTTCTGACAGGAGACTCTGCCAAACGTTCCTAGCAGACCCTCGTGATACGTTTGGGCCTGCCTGGTCTTTCCAGCATCCTCCCCCACCATCTGAGCCAGTTTTCTTACTTGGTGTTTGATAAATATAATGATGATACTTATCTGGTTTATTTAATGTGAAAGGTTTGATAGGAAAAGTGTCCTTTATTGTCCTGGGGGTTTAAATTCTATATGGTCAGGTGTACAGGTCGAACAATCAGTAAGAAAGGTAGCTTGTGGCTGTCCCACAAGTTGCTACATGATGCTAAATAATCATAATCTGATAACAAACCATGTGTTTGCATTCATAGTGGGTGCTACAGGAGATTTTGTCGGAGAGTTCATGTAATTTTTTTTTGTCATAATCCTCCTCCATTATTTAGGATGACTGTAATCCAGGGCAGGATCCTCCAGAAGTGTTGGATGGGTGAAAAGCTCCTGGTCCAACTGCTACTTAGTGCATGATGCAGGCATGCAGGACTGGACGATCATCTGACTGCATAGCCTGGCCTGCCAGACTCGTCCTTTGTTTAATTCTGCACAGAGAATGAGTCTGGTAACTCACAGGCAGAGAGGCACTTGAGGGGCGGGACTAGGCAGCTCAAAATGTCCAATCAGAAAAAAGACGGAAATCCCAACTGTACCGCGTGACGCGGTAGATTTCCAGTTGTAGTAAAAAAATAACGTCTGGCAACAGCGCAAACATCTTTTATTTTTTTTAGAAGAAATGCTTTTAATGTTTCTACTTGTGGCTGTAAAGAAATTTGAGTCATTTAGAACAGAGGAAAGAGCCGCTGTCTTCGTTGTTTATGAGAAACTGAGCGCCGCCTTGTGTGACGTCCGCGACGCTGTAGTTTTTTTTAGCTGTAGTAAAAAGGGAGTCTGGCGACAGCGCAAACATCTTTGTTTAGAAGAAATGCTTTTAGCACTTCTACTTGTTGTGGTTTTAAAGACATGTTCAAATCATTTAGAACAAAGGAAAGAGCCGCAGTGAACTCCACTTCAGTCACTATGTTTATGACAAACTCGGCGTTGTGGTGTGAGACGTATGATACTCAGCGCTGATTGGCTCGGTTAGAATTCTCACAGGGTGGGGTTGTTTGAATAGGAGAGTTCCCAGACTCTTTCTCTGTGCAGAATTAAACAAAGGAGGGGTCTGGCAGGCCATGCTACTGACTGCATGGACCATCAACTACCTCACTAACAGGCAACAGTAGGTGAGGTTGCACAACTGTTCCTCTGAGGTGGTTGTGTACAGAACGGGAGCTCTGCCTGGAACGGTGATCTCACCCTTTCTCCACCTTTTCTACCGCATACTTCACCTACAACAATAGCAACAGTCGCCTCCTGAAGTTCTCTGACAACTTGGCCATTGTCGGCTGCGCGTCTGAGGGGAATGACCAGGAGTACAGGTCAGTCATCATGGACTTTGTTGACTGGTGTAAGCGTAACCAATTTCACTTGAACACCAGTAAAACAAAGGAAATGGTGAGAAACACTCCTCCTCACACCCAAAAACATCCAAACATTATTTAAGATCCTGCGTGTTCACCTCAACAGTAAACTGAACTCGTCCAACAACACAGATGCTCATGAAAAGGGCCAAAGTTGCCTCCATCTCCTGGGGAGGCTGAGGTACTTCAAAGTGAATTCCCATCTGCTAAAATCCTTTTATTACTCTGCTGTGGTTTGCTGGGGTACGGGCAGCTCTGACCAAGACAGAAAGAGACTGAACAGGCTAGTTAAAACAGCTATCTCGGTTCTGGGCTGAGTGATTAACAGGCTTCTGCAGAGCTTGATGAGCTGCTTAACAGTTGAGTCAAGCATGGAAAGACATTGGGATCACTCTTTAATATATATATATATATATATATATATATATATATATATATATATATATATATATTTTTTTTTTTTTACAGTTTTCAATTGCTAGAGAGATCTGAGTACTTGTAAAACACACTGACAAAGTCACTAATTTGGCAACACTGCAACGGGTGTAACAGCTCTATTCCTATCTGTTAGATTACTCTCTACGTATTAAGCCAATCACATTCTACAGTTTATTCATCATATAAAATAAAAGCCCGTTTTGTTGAGGGCACTTTAAAATTTTAATTAGTAAAAATAAAAAATAGAAACAAAATTATGATGTGTAGATTTCCTGTGTCTTGTGCAATGCGTACCACATGATGGCAACTGTAACACATGAAGTAGCTCTGTCCCTATAAAGCCTTTATCCCAACTGCAATCTTCTACCATCCTGTTTAGTTCACTATTCAGGGGGTAGCCGACATTACAAATTGAGTATCATTAGCCTGTGTATTTCCCAATATTGATTTGGGAACAAAGACATGGCTGGAAAGCTCGTTAGTCTTTTTGTTTAACATACTGCTGAATTCTTAACGTAGGTAATGTGTTTAGGTATGAATCTTGGAAGCATATCCTCAGCTTTGCTCATCTCAGCAGATTTATAGGGTAGTGTGGGCTGAGTGAAGTCCTTACTGTTCTCTGAAGTAGTGTAATGGTTTGCATTAATCATTAAGGAAATATAACAATTTCAAAAAATAATCAAGAACTCAAGTATTACCAGGATAAAAAACAAAGTCATGGCTTGGAAAAATCACCAGATTTTAATAGAGGAGACACTTAAAATATAAGTTTAAAGTATTTAAAATGAATAATTATGTTCTAAATTAGTTTGTTATTCTATGAGAATACTTGGGTCATGGTAGTCAGTTTTTATCTTCTATATAAGATCCATTTTTCATGAATCTATTAAGGAACATGTCTTGCTAACATAAATTTAACAATAAGTGAAATTTAATTTAATATATATTTGCCATTCTGTGAATCAAGTAACCATCATTAATCTTCTGTTAGGTCACACAGGAAGTGACGTGCCTAATTAGTTATTTACTTCCTGTTTGTATGAAGCTGGTTTTATAGAACAATGTTACTCGGCCCATTTTCTTAGCTACACAATCTCCTTTTCTTAATTTAGCATTTAAATGTTTAGAACAATTCCTCAGCTTTACTAATTAATTTTTTAAATAATATAAATTTGTTTAGATGTAATTATTTCTGAGTATTGTTCACTGTGGTCATTACAAAGTCATTTCTAAATTCTGGGGTGAGTAAACTAACTAAAGCGGGTCATTCCTAAACTTAAACTGGCAGTAGCAGCAGTTTTAAACTGTGGGTCATTAATAAACAATTGAACATTTTAAGCATTGTTGGAAAACAAAAACAAAGAAATCTGCACATAAAAGGAAAAATGCATCTATGGGACTTGATTCTATATAAAGTTTCAACCCCAGCAGAAAAGAAAAGATATAAATCGTTGGAAAAGAAGAAACCAGCAGATATTTGCTCTACCAGATGAAGAAAAACAAAGACGAGACACCGTGGAGGACTGCTGGAGTTCAGGTGTTCATACGTACATTAAACAATCTTACAACTTAGTTGCATTACAACGTAATAAATCAGTGTGATTACATTTAGACGTGTGATTAAGGGAAATCTAGGCCAAAAGTATATCTACCATTTAGATTTGATACATGTGGATGTGTTTTGAAGCAGAAAAGTGTCGTGGACATGTTCAGTTGGACAAGGTGAAACTCACTGAGCAGGATGATGATGCAGATGAGGATAGAGATAATGGCGCCGGTTCCCAAACCAGCAGCTGCAACGGCACCAAGTGTCGTGCAGTCTCCGTGTTCGTCACATGGACACACCTTCACCTTGATGACCGACCTGTTGGACAACGGTGGGTTGCCCGAGTCTGAGACAATTATAGGGACCTCGTACATCCCTGGCTCTAAATACACCTGGTACCGAAGACCCAGACGGGCAAAATCACCTGTAGAAATGAAAATAGGAAAAGTTAAGAGAGGAAGTCAATAATCAAGTCTTATTGTGAAAGTTCACCTGCATCCTAAATGACCTCTAATGTACAGAAATATTTACTCATTCATTCGTAAAGAATCAACATTTTTAGATACCCTAGAAATATTTGGACAGATTGAGAATTTTAGTTTGTAAAACGGGGAATAAAATTACATAATATAAGATGTGTTTTTATGCTACTTCAGCCAGTAACCGTGGTCTGCTGAGGAAATGGTGGTCACTACCCCGACTGAGTTTAAAAGTGCTGTTTATTAAAGGTCGTCAATGAAATAAACATTTTTACTATTATGTCTGATAATAACCAGTGACTCTGAGTTTTTCATGCCGGCTGAACCTGAAAATAGTCTCCTACACCTTTCTGCTGCATTAGCTTCTGATAGAAAAAAGACGGTGAAACTAGGATTAGAAAATCCTGACAGATCTATGTCACACTATCACCTAACTAGGGTTGGGGATGAAAAGCCAGTTCTTGTTGAGACCCGGCTCCCATTGTTTCAATTCCTAGGAATCGTTTGCCACTTTTGCAAACTATTCTCTGCTTTCACAGGGAGCATAAAGGAGAACATTTGGGAAGATATTGCCAACCAATACAGGTACAACAGATTTCTTACCATAAAGAAACTGACAGTTATACTGCAGGAGAAGTGCACAGTTAGTTTTTTGCCACCTGTTTAACTACTCTAGAATTGATAAGGGAATTGATAAGAAATTGGATCGATAGAATCGACAATGCCATTGATATTGATAAAAAACATACCAATTCCCACCTCTACACCTAACATTCATGGACTCACACATCTTGACTCACAGCGAGAAAGGCTGCTGTTGTTTTAACGTCCAAGTAACAACAGAGAACATTTTGGCTAGTTTAAGGTAACAGTTAGCATCAATGGCGGTTTTAAACAGGGGCCCACAGGGGCCTGGGCCCCTGTAGAACCGGCCCTGGCCCCTGTTATGGCCCCTGTGCTGAAGAGATCGGATTTTTTTTTTCCCGCGCTGCCTCGGAGACGAGAACTAATGCGCTGCAGCGTTTCACATGGAGCCTTTAAAGCGCAGCACACTCTGTGGACAGAACTGTTTACCCGGTGGATTTTTGAATACAAGATTAAAAATAGTTTAAATGGGACCCGAAGAAGTTCTTGAGGACGCCAAACGGAAAAGACGCTAAGAGACGAAGGTAAGCAATACAGTTTATTTTCCTGACATCAGTGTTTTGATCGTAGTCGCGCGTTTCTGTCATTTACTTTTAAGTTCCTAACTGAGCCTATCCACAGTTAATACTGATTTGTTTTTCCTTTGTAACATTAACTGTAAAATAAAAATGAAGTTTCTGCATTTTAAGCCTTAGACACGTTGAGATTGGATTACGGTATTCATTTACCCTCTGTGATTGCAGCTCATATTGTGTGTAAAATGCATTTGAGGCATGCTGACTCTGGACCAAAATTTCTGTTGTTTATATTTAATAAATAGATAAAATAAGACTCTGAATTAACTAATTATGACTTTTATCCTCATGCTAACATTTATTTTCTTTCAGATATCAGCAAGTGCAAGGATGACCCACCTACTCAGCCTCATTTGAGGACATTTCCAGGGACATTAATAGGAGACAGAAGACGCAGCTTTCAGCCAAGCTGGTATGAAAGTCATCCTTGGGTTGAATGTTCTGTTACTATGGACTCTACTTATTGTCATGCATGCAGACATTTTATCCCACCAAGTAGCGCAGGAAGTGTGTTTGACTCACCATGTGGATTTAGGAACTGGAAAAAAGCAACTGAGAGAGGAGGGGGGTTTTCAGTACATGCAAAGTCTGAAAGGCATAAGGACTCAATGATAGCGTGGAGGGACTACCAGAGGGCTGTGAAAGCTAATACCACATTGGCTAATATACTTGACAAGGAACACAGTAAAAGGTTAAAGAAAATCGTGAGTATATCAAAACAATTGGTGAAGTGATTTTGCTTACTTGTGTGTGTGTGTGTGTGTGTGTGTGTGTGTGTGTGTGTGCGTGTGTGTGTTGACTACAAAAAGCAAATTGTTTTGTGCAGATATTTTATTTGTTTGAATGTTTATTTTTCATATGTGCAGTTCATATAATCTTCAAATAAAGTCACAAACTATAATATTCAACTAGAATTATTTTTTACTTAAGTCTTGTGTTGCGGTGAAGCATTCAGAATTGTTATCTGAGTACCATAAAACATGCCAGTTTTACTTTCACAAGTAAACTATTACTGCATTCGCCGTAATAGTTTACTTGTTCATTGTCTCTTATTATGATTGTTTTTTTCTTGCGCCCCCATGAAAAAATACTGGCCCCACTGTGGCCCCCCTGGAAAATTTGGTCTAGAACCGCCCCTGGTTAGCATGAACAACTGTCCACCATAATGCCAAACAGTAATGTGTTCAGCTATGCAAAAGAGAGAAAAATGTGTAAATATGTTGTATATATATATATATATATATATATATATATATATATATATATATATATATATATATATATATATATATATATATATATATACACACACACATACACAGTAAATCCTCTAATACAGACCCGGGCCTGTATTTTACTCAAGCTCATCAAGCTCCAGGCCTTTATTGGAAGGAGGGCCAGAATTAGAGGCAGGCCTCAATTTCTATTTGAGTAAAATGAACTACCAGTAGAATGAATAAAAACGGGGTGTGTCTATTTGAACCTAATATACTAGGTTCATTTATTGAAAATGTACAGTTACCATAAGGTGGTATGGTTTGCATATAAAACATTAACAACAAGGCTAAATTACAGTAGGGAAATACTGTATTGTAACAAAACAATAGCAAATACACCTGTACTGCATTTTAAACGTTATTAAATACCAATATTACAAAAGGCAACAGCCACCTTACCGCTTCAAAGTTGAATCGTTTCGTCTCGTTTGGGTTGTAGAAAAAAAAATAAAAACCCTCAAATTCAATTCAATCTTTGTCCAGTTTAAAGTAAAAAAAAAAAAATACCAGTAATCCAATTCAGTTTAATCCTCATTCAGTTTGATGGGTCGATGTTAAAACGTTTAGCAGCTTGCTCCCCAGAGTGTTCTGCAGCAAATATCAGCACGTTCTCTTTGAAATTTATATCAAATTTTCGCCTCCTCTTCGTCTCCGCACCTGCCATGGTTAAAGTTACCCTCGCGGTCTATCACTGGCAAATCAAAAGTGTGACAGATGACACAACCGCCCCCCTGTGGTACTTGCCTGTTACCACATTCCACCCGGCCACAATAAAAAAAACAGCCATTATTCACCTCCGCCGACTCCGACACCGGCCCAAATGTGATACCAGGACCTTAATTGAATACAGGCCAATATTAGAGGATTTACGGTATTTTTTTTTGTAATCCCACATGTTTCATTATGTGCATGTGAGCGCAAACTACGGATCATGATAAGCCAAAAGCACATAGAGGGTTTATCTATTATTTCCAGTAAATGCAATAAAGATATTGTAAAATTTAGAAGAAAGATTTCTTTCCATCCCCTCTTCATCATCGAAACATTTTTTTTTCATATAATTGTTTTCCATAACACGTCCTCACCGCTGATCCGTGAAATGGTCCAGTTGCGTCGGATGCTGCTGGGGAAGTTAGGCAGCTCGAAGACAAAAGGTCCAGCATTGGGATCTGTGTCAGCATCAGCTGCAGTGATGTTGACACCATTGACGTTCTTGTTCATCCTTTCACAGATTTGAGACTCCCTGGGTACGAGCGCTGGGGGGTTGTCATTAATATCTATCAAATAGATCTGCAGCGTGCCTGTGCCACTGGCTGCAGGGGAGCCTGCAAGGAGGAACAAAGAGAGAAAAAAATAATAACATTGTGACAGGAGGAAAAGATGACAAGAGAAGATGGGTGCAGTGGAGTCCTGAGAGGAAAAGCTGAAGGCAGACAAAGGAAAGGTAAAAATAATGAAGAAGGATTAAAGAAGGGACAGGGAAGAGGTGAAATGAGCATTGTTCACTCTCAATGATGATGTTAGAGAGGAAAACTGTAGAACAAGGGGACAATTAGAACTTTTGACAAGAACACTTCTGACAGTTTTGCTTTCCAGCTCGTCTTTTGGCCTTAGAGCCAAATCGAAGCCATCACAGTGGATCCAGATGCAGGAAAAGCACATCTAATTGCATGGAGAGGGTTTAGGTACGATAATGATGACTGTAATACCATAAAACAGGTCCCTGTCTGTGTGTATTTAAACAATAGCATCTATGGTTTTGGACATAAAAGTGCTTCTTTTGCAGAATAAACACTTTCTGGAGGATAGACTGCATTTTCACAAAACACAGTTGTTCAAAGTCGTTTATAAAGAAGTTCTGAATATAGTAATTACAGCAAGACTATGTGCATTTAGTGTTTATGCCCTTATACTTAAATGTAGTTTTACAAAAGCAAGCGCCCATGATTAGGACTGGACTAGACTGAATTAAAAAAAGTGTGTTTTACAGTTTTGATGAATTTTTTATTGTCTTTATCTGCCTTCAGATCTGATTTGGCCAAATAAAATCAAATCAAATCAAATCAAAGATACTTTATTAATCCCAGAGGGAAATTAGAGTTTCAGTACACACAATTCAGAGATCAGACATACATGGGCAAGACAAATGACAAGACCTAACTTTTGTGATACAGATGTGTTAATTAGCAGCCGTTTCAGATGTGGGCTTAATGGATTAACAGCAACATTGCACCTGAGCACAGATTTTATGCCAGTAGACACTGTTGATGCAACTGGTGAAGGCTGCTGCGATGCTCCTTTAGGCAGACCACTGTTGATGCCATTAGAACAACAACTCTGTCAGCCTGAGACTGCAATAACATGCGCTGCTGCACATAGAAACACCCTCACCTCATTCAAAGACACAATTTGAAGCAGTTGCATTGACTGAACAAAACAACAGACCACCAGCGACAGAGTTTATAGAGAATTGGGAATAAAGAAAAGACACTTTAAAAAACCAGAAACTGAGATGTCCAAGCAGGGGAGTGAGAGTATGAACGTGTGTGAAATGTGGCACCGAAAAATAAGGAAATGTGGGATCCTCAGGAGCGTAAAGCTCAAAGCTGTTTATTGAGCATGTGCCAGGGGTGATGACCTTTAGCCGCCTCCAATTACGAGTCATTTCCCTGTCAAGTCCCCACGGACAAGCCATGCCATGGACTCCAGTGACCCAGAGGCCCATCTCTGGGACCAGATAATGACAATGTAATTTACAAGGATTTATGCAAAGCTTATGGATCTGGTAATTAAGTGTGGCAACAGAGCAAAAAAGAAAAAAACTGCTGCGAAATGAGAAACAAACAGTTGAGTGAGATGTGTTTAAAAAGAGTTTGTGGATAGTTTTATTTTTGTTGCAGAATAAATTTCACCTGGTTGGGATTTAGTTTGTTCCTGAGATCTAATTTGTTTTTAATAATGCTATTAGGGCAAGTTCAGTAATGGACCTTTGCACTTTTTTGAAAGACAGTTATGAATGAATGATTTGATGATGATGAAAGAGTTATCCAAACCAATTGGACCCTTATGTGGATGAGTTTCATCAAACCTACAGTCAAACACGGTGGCAGTAGCATGATGGTCCAGGGCATGATTAATATGCTGTAATGAATGTAATCATGAATTCTGCTGTTTAATAAAACTTAAAATCTGGAAGAGGGCAAATAATTTTATCAACAACCTCCACACCCGCATCTAACCACTGAAAACATATGGTAGCAAGTTTTTTTTATTTAAAATTACATTTTCAATTATAAGTCCCAACCTTTAGAAGGCATACCACATAAACAAAAGTATTATAGGCATTATTAGTACTGTTAATCAGAAGCTTTAAATATATAAAATAACGACTAATTATTCAGCAGCAATGTTTCTGACTTGTTTCACAGGTTTTTAACATGTGGACAGTACGTAAATCTTAGTACCAAACAAGAAAGTACATAAATACACACACTGAATCAAAAACACGTGCTTAGACACTGGTACACACACAAGCAGAGACACAAGACTACACACAGAATTTCTCTCATTTTGTGGGTTTGTTAATCCCAGCCATGTATGGGAGACATGTGGAAGCAGCTTGCTACAGCTGATAGGAGAATTATGTGGGTTTTAACCAGCTAAATAAATAATTATGTTTGTGTAAATTCCTCAAACAGATTTGTATTAACTCCCCTTTTTTTGATGGTGGATGAGAGATGCCAGATGTCTGCTCACAGCCAACCATATACTCGATGATGAGCACACTCACATTAACAATACTGTACCTGTTTTAAGGAAGAGAGATACATGGGTCTGAATGAGGCAGAATTATGTCAAGTGTGTTTTCACCATGCTGTCATCCCCCCCCCCCCCCCCCCCCCCTTCAGCAATGCCCTAATATTCAGACCGACTTTTATTCCTTCATACTATAATTCCTCCTCATGTTGTGGCAGCTGGCATGTCAGAAGCACCTACAAAGACTGATTTACTCACACACACACACACACACACACACACACACACACACACACACACACACACACACACACACACACACACACACACACACACACACACACACACACACACACACACACACACACACACACACACAGGCTGTCTAACTGGGATCTACAAAGAGCTTTTTCTCTTCAAACAAATATAATGGGGAAAGAGAAATTAGGAGGGTTAAAAGAACCTATCGTCTCTTCCTTCACATCAACACAGAAGGTTACACATTTTCAAAGATGGCACACATACACATAAAGGTGTTGCATGTAAGAGCATCCTCAGATGCTCACAATTTCTAAACATGACAAAGTTTTAAGCCAGGCTCAAGTTAAAGTACACACACCAGAGCGCTGTGTGACATTGATAAGGCGGTTTAGAAGAAGAATAAAAGCATTTTTAACTTGAAAACAAAACAAAAAAACAATGCACTAGCTGACAAGAAGGAAACTTATTTGTTTCCTGTGATTGAGTTTGTGCTTGGTTAAGCTCAAGTTCAAACTGTGAAGCAGAACAAATAACATATGCAACAGAAATCACCAAAAACAGAAGCAGAAGTCAGGCTTGAACGGACGATAAAAGAGTGAAAGAGGATCAGCAGTGTGACCAGTTGTGTGATTCAAAGACTGTTTCTGAGTCAAACTCAGCTGCTCAGCCTACAGATGCTCCAAGTCTGAAGATGACTTTAAAATTCAGACAAATGGGTCAAGTTTTGTATCATGTTAATGTGCATTATAACTTCTCACCTGGATTACCTCAAATACCATTTGTATCTGTAATGCAAACCAGTCATCTAAAAGTCTTAATCAAACGTGTTATTTTGTTATCACAACTTTTTTGTAATTTGATATGTGTACAAACAATCCACAAACACAAAGATTAATAAATACACCAACTTTTGTTGTTCAAAAGAAGGCCAAATATTCTGTTTCCAGGAAATTTTCTGTTTCCGGGAACTGCCATGTTGCATTTTTGAAGCTGAGACTGATCACTCAAGATGTGGGGTACTTGTATATCCAAGTACATCCATTTTTATCATCAAATAATAAATTGTAGGTAAATATGTTCGAAAAATAAAGTTAAAGTGACAAAAGATCCTGAAAAGTACACCCATCCATTATCTGATGTAAAATCTTGCATTGTGTACGTAACATATTCAGAAAGTCTGCTCCAGGGCCTCCTCTTAGTAGAATGAGCCTGAAAAACCTCCATTCAGCCTAAATCAAATGTCCAAAAGGCCTTAGCTCTACACCAAGTCCTGGATGACAATCTCACCTTTTTCTATGGCTGATCCTGGCTTCTCTAACTCATGCTCTCACTTCAACTAATCATAACTCACAATGAAGACACAAAGATACTTAAAGTTCTTTTTTTAAGGGGGGACCTCGCCCAAAACTCATTTTCTAGTCAAGAATCACAGCTTCAGCTCTGAAGGAACATACTCTCATCCTAGCCAGTTCATACTTGACTGGCTACAAGCTAAGGCTTGCCAAGATGCCAACAGAACCACATCATCTGCAAACAGCAGAAAGAAATGTCTGCTGTCCCTAAACCAGACACATGAATATGCCTATCCATGAACCAGATGAATACTAAAGATGAACAGAGAAAAAAAAAACAACTAAAGTTCTTACCATTGTCTGTGGCCAGAAATGTTGCTTCGTATATATTGTTCTTCACATGAACAGACTCCCGATCGAGCATTGCTGTTGTCACTATTTGACCATTGGTTCTGTTGATGGACAACCAGTCCGCTGGGTCATTCAGCTTTGAATACCTGAATACACACACAGGCAGATCAATGGAGAAGTTAGCATTGGCATTCCAACATATACAAGCAATTGTATGTTTTCACTTGCACCTCTGCATACATAGATAGCCTTCAAAAACTCTCTCTCTCTCTCTCTCTCTCTCTCTCTCTCTCTCTCTCTCTCTCTCTCTCTCTCTCTCTCTCTCTCTCTCTCAAATGCCTGCACACACACACACACACACACACACACACACACACACACACACACACACACACACACACACACACACACACACACACAGACACACACACACACACACACACACACACACACACACACACACACACACACACACACACACACACACACACACACACACACACACACACACACACACACACACACACACACACTCAATCGCAACAGCCTGACCTTCACACAGTTTAATTCTTCATTGACTTCTTCTCCCAAGCCTGTAGCCTACAGTCAATTTTACCTCATTTTTCACTCCTGTGTACCAAGCAATGAAGTCGATTACCTTTGTAGTTAAGCACTTGTGCCTTGCACTTGACACATATTTCTAGGAAGTGTTTACTTAAAGCAGAAAAGGTCTAAACTGCCTGAATGGGTAGTATACATACATGTTTAGGGTGCACATGTTTTCAATTGTGCCCATCTTTGCTCAGACATCAGATAAAAGGCTCTTGGTCCTGATCAATGAACAGGAAAGTCAATGTGATACCACGTGGCAACCGTCCTCTAAGATAAAGAACAGAAAAGCGATGGTGGATCATCACAAGGGATTGTCTACAGGATTGGATCAAAATCTTCAGTATGATCTCACTTTTCTAGTTCCTGCAGCTTTTTTGATGCTTTGAGTTTTTTCCAGGCTCTCAGTTCAATCTGGTCTTTCTCAGCTTGTGTCACATCACCTCATCTCACCATGCTCGGTATTCATACATTTTCTTATCCCTTTGAGTAACCCCTCTCACCCTCGTCTCATTCGTCTTAGTAATACAGTTTGTCAGCCGCCACCTCTCCTGTCTGTATTTACACTTTCAAAAGAGAAATATCATCTATAGACATGTGACACGTTCGTCTCACACAACACGATTTTAGCATCAGTTTGATATTTTTTACTGAGTCAGTTTTTAGGTAACATATACATTCAGGCTTCAAACTAATTCCTGATTCCTATATTGTGCTTAGTATTCAGCATAGTTTGTAGTTGCATTTGAATACATTTCACATACATGCAATTCTAACAAGGAAAAATAATCAAATAAAAGAAAAAGGGGTTGAAAAGCATGGAGTATAATCTCTCTCCTGCAGTGAGGGAGGTGGGGTTTTCCCAGCAGGCAGTGGGCATGATCCCAGGCACTGTGCAGTGGGAGGAAAGGGGGATCATGGCAATGACATTCCCACACTCGAGACAGTTCCACACAAGTTTAACAGGCCTACAGATGCTGATAGGTGTGCTGTGAAACCTCCACTGGGACCAAAGTGAGTCACTGAGTCAATAACAGTGGGAGGGTGAGATTAGAGAGTGAAATTATTTGGAAGGGTAAAAGGAAAGAGATAGAGAAAGAGATTCCCAGAACTTCAGGGAAGTGTAGACAATCAGATGTTAACATCAGAAATGACTTAAAGTATAGAGGCATATTTCCGTTGAATGGCATGTGTAAAAAAAGTATTAAAACCTCATATGTAAAAGGTTTTAAGATTTTCACAGCTGGATTTGTAAGACGATCTGATGTTTCTGACCAGGGCTGCAAAAAGACAAAATAGTTTCTGGTCTAATCCTTGGACGGCTGGTGATGTCTCACAGGGAGCTCTGTTCAAACAGTTAGTGTAAACAATCCCAAACTCCGATTTAATCTGCATTGGCATTATAGCAGAGGTCAGATTCAATTCAATTCAATTCAAAAATACTTTATTAATCCCAGAGGGAATTTTATTGCTGTAGTAGGTCAAAATAATAATAATAATGAAGTTGTCAAAGAGTTGTTGTATATTACAATGGCTTTTGGCAACTGAAGAAGCCTCTGACTGAAGACACTCTTCCGTTGTCGGACAGTCTTGTGAAGAGAATGCTCAGGGTTGTCCATAATTTTTTTGATTCTCTGGCGAATCCTTCTTTGCATTATCTCCTCCAGTGGTTCCACAGTCATCCCCAGAACAGAGCCAGCCTTTTTTATTAGGCTGTTGAGCCTTAAGTCCCTGCTTCTGATGCTACTACCCCAACAGACAAAGGTTGAAGAGATTACACTCTCAACAACAGACTTATAGAAGATCTGCAGAATCTTGCTACAGACATTGAAGGACCTACGCATCCTCAAGAAGTGCAGTCTGCTGTGTCCCTTCTTGTAAATGGCTTTGCTGTTCTTTCTCCAGTCCAGTCTGTTGTCCAGGTGAACTCCAAAGTATTTGCATTCGTCAACCACCTCCACTTCTCGAATATTGGAAACAGTGTTTGACTCCACCCTGTTTCTTCTGAAGTCTAAAATCATCTCCTTTGTTTTGTTCACGTTCAAGGTCAGATGATTGTTTCCACACCATGCCACAAAGCGCTCCACCAGCTCTCTGTACTCAGCTTCCTGTCCATCTCTGATACACCCGACAACTGCAGAGTCATCTGAGTATTTCTGTAGATGACAGGTCTCTGATTTGTCTGGAAGTCTGAGATGTACAGGGTGAAAAGAAATGGTGAGAGTACAGTCCCCTGTGGTGCTCCAATGTTACTGATCGCCTGGTTTGATGTGCAGTTCTTCAGCCTCACAAACTGTGGTCTGTTTGTCAGGTAGTCTTTAATCCAGGTGATAGTTGAGGCCCCCACCTGTGTCTTCTGGAGTTTCTGACAAAGTACATCAGGCTGAATTGTGTTAAATGCACTGGAGAAATCAAAGAACATGACCCTCACAGTGCTGCCTGCTTTGTCCAGATGACAGAAGGTTGGTTGAAGCAGCTGCATCTTCAACTCCAACTCCATGGCGATAAGCAAACTGCAGCAGGTCCTGATATGTCCTAGTTTGCTTATTCAGGTGGACCAACAGGAGTCTCTCCAGGACCTTCATGATGTGGGATGCCAGGGCAATGGGTCAGTAGTCGTCACTGACTGATGGGCGAGTTTTCTTTGGAACTGGAACAAGGCAGGATGTCTTCCACAGGACTGGAACCTTCTCCTGGGCCAGGCTGAGGTTGAAGAGGTGCTTCAGAATCCCACAGAGCTGCTCTGCACAGGCCTTCAGTACTCTGGGGCTGACACCATCTGGACCTGCAGCCTTGTTCCTGTTCAGTCTCTCCAGCTGCCTCTTCACCTGACTTCTAGAGACAGATAGGTGGGAGGGGGAGGTAAATGAGGCAGCATCATTTCCTGACTTGGTTTAGGATGGATTTATAGAACCAGAAGAGTCCATGACTGTGCTAAAGGACAAAAGAGCTGGCGTGTGACAGGAAAATGTTCAATCAGAGAAGGATGGGATGTCTGATAGGAGGATGCTGGGTTTGTTCCTGAACTGAACCTATTGAAGAATTTGTTCAGTTCATTGGCTGTGTCCAGGCTGCCATCTGTGCAATCCTTCCTCTGCTTGAAGCCTGTGATCTTCTTCATCCCTGACCAGACATCTCTGATATTGTTCCTCTGTAGTTTGTTCTCCAGCTTCTTCCTGTATTCCTCCTTGCTGTCTCTGATCTTGCCCTTCAGTTGCTTCTGCATACTCCTCATTAATTCCCTGTCTCCCTCCTTGAAGGCTCTTTTTTTCCTCATTTAGCAGATTCTTCAGTTCACTGGTGATCCAGGGTTTGTTATTAGCGAAGCATCTACTGTTCTGGTGGGTATGATGTTGTCCACACATAAGTTTATATAGTCACTGACACATCCATTCATGGCATTGATGTCCTCTTCATATCCTTGGCAGAGAGTCGTCCAATCTGTGGTCTCAAAACAACCCTGCAGGACTTCTTCAGCATCCTGTGACCATTTTCTCACAGTTCTTCTTGTCACAGGTTGCCTCTGAACAAGTGGTGTGTATTCTGAGCAGAGAAAAACAAGACTGTGATCTGATTGTCCCAGAGGAGATCTTCTTTTGGACATAAATGCATCCTTTGCATTTGCATAACACAAATCCAATGTCTTGTTTTCTCTGGTGGAGCAGCTGACAGACTGTTGAAATGTTGGAAGTGTAGCAGAGAGCGAGGCATGATTAAAATCACCAGATATAGCCACAAATGCATTGGGGTGCTGGGTTTGTAGCTTAGCGACAACGGAACTGATGGCATCACATGCACTTTCAGCAATGGCTGAAGGTGGAATATAAACAGTTGCCAAGACAACACTGGTGAACTCTCTTGGCACATAATATGGGTGACAACTTACTACCAAGAGTTCAACATCTGGGCTGCAGAGACGGCATTTCACTTAAACATGACCTGGATGGCACCATCTGTTGTTGACAAGCACTGCCACTCCACCTCCTTTTCTTTTCCCGCTCCTCTTCAGATCTCTGTCTGCTCGTACAGTCAGGAATTCTGGCAGAGGGACACTGGAATCGGGGATATGGTCCTGCAGCCACGTCTCAGTGAAACCCATAACACTGCACTGCCGATACTCTGGCTGAGTCCAGAGATCAGTCAGATGTAACTAATGAAACCTCTGGAAGTCGGTCAGATTTTTTCTCCTCTGGATTACTACGAGGAGAACAGATATCGGAGAGCTGGCGGCATGCCACCATGTCACTCAGCCTGTCTAACTCGGAGCCGCATGTCAGAACAGCACTTAGCTTTCTCGGCTAATGCACATCTTGACATATTCAAGACTCAGGCAACATGCAGATGGATATGGACACTGATTGCAAAGCCAACATGGAAGGATTATGAACATCTTCAGAAACAAAGTTGGTTTGTTTACTTTTACTGTGTACGTGTTTTATCTCATGTTATAATCTCTATTGGGACAGCAGTAGCTCAGGGGATAGAGCAGGTTGACTACGACATATGGCTAAGACTATTTGCTGCAGCTGTAAACTCA